CAGGCAACTTAACTTGTAATGTAAATCAGAATAGGTAACATATACATATATGTTTTTATTATGTTATTTTTAAATGTTCACAATTTTATTTTGATAAATGAAAAATTAGAAAAGTCAATTCAAAATTATAGACTAAAGTCGACACTCGGCTGTATGCCTTCTTATCACGGTTGTTGGCTAAAGTCAATGCTCGGTTCATCTGTGGCTATCAACTATAGTCGACGCTTGTACTGAAGTGGTTAAATGACAGTTTTACTTGCCATGTCATCTCCTAGGAGATTTCAAAATCCAGATGGACTGATTTAGCCAACTCTCTTATCCCATAATTTATTACTGTGATCATATCTCAAGAACTTTATCTACATTAAACTTAAGCAACTAATTCCTATGGCAACATCCTAGATCATGTGTGCACATTATATAATCCCCTGGAGAGCTTGTTATAACACAGATTGCCCAATCCCCTGACTTTCTGGTTCAGAAGGTCAGGGATAGGGCCTAAGAACTTGCATTTCTAACTAAAGTTCTCAGGTGATATTACTAGTCCTGACACCAACTCTAAGAACCATAGGCCTAGATCTTTTCATTAGCCAGAAATGGTTAACATTCAAAGCATCCTAATTCTGATAGCCCTTCTAAAGTTCAAGCTTCTGGTCTTTTAGACATCATTCCCAATAAACCTGCTATTCAATCATGGAGCTGCTCAAAAATTCACCTACTTGTTTTTGGTGGACAATTGTTTTCATCCTGTGTTTCTGCTTCTCTGAACGCTGACCACTTTCCTCAAGACTCTACACACCCTCCACCATCCTCACTCTCAACAAATGACTTCAACTCGTAACAGAGAAAGCAGAGGTCGGGAAGCAGGAACTACCTCACTTCCCTCTGATATGCCTTCACCCTTCTCAGTTTTAATAACCAACTTCACCTTCCTCCTAACCTCAGAAGCATATCTCTTCGCTAGTCCAAGATAATGTTTCTACTTATTTTCTCTATCCTATCTTATCCAGTGGCTTCCAAATCTCTGCCCCAAATCTCACTTGCCATGCCTGTAATTTCAAACACTCCCACACTATTGGCAGAGTATATGTATTTTTAATTTTAATAAATATTGCCAGATTGATTTCCAGGAAGACTGTTTCCTGGCAGACGACTTGAAGTTTATTCCCAGCAAAGGTTAAATCAAACAGAGGTTCTGGATCAGGAATCTTAGCCCAGCTGAGAATGAAAGTATCATACTGAAAAGAGGTAAGATTAAATATAACTAAACACTGAAACTTCTTTTCTCTTGTTCTGCTCAGAACATTAACAGACAGGCTTCTACGTTTCAAAGAGGAGACTGGAAGACTGAACAATCCAAGAAAGAGCTTCAGATACTGAAAGTTGGAAATTCCCCAATGAAATGCTGGGTCCCTACCCAATCACCTTAGGATGAGACTCAACCTACAATGGCTAATCATCCTGTTTTGCCTAGGACTGTCACAGTTTTAGTACAGAAAGTCGTGTGTCCTAAAAATCCCTGTAGTCCTAGCAAACCAAAATGGCTGAGCACCCTAGGCACAACTGTGGACAATGCCCACACCTGAATACAAAGCATCCAATTCGTTTTTTGTGTCTTTCTTTTAAAATGAATGGGTAGTCAAGGATTACCCGACATTTGAGGAAAAATGAACACTAACGAAAACAAATAGAAAAAGGAAAACAATGAAAACTCTTACAAATGCATGAAGCCAAAGAAAATAATACTGCATCCATTAAAAAGCAGACTATAAAAATAGAAAAGAGAAAAAAATAGTTCTTAGAATTGAAGTACATGAGTTTCTGGTTTAAAAGGGTCCACCAAAACCCGAGTAAAATGCATGAAAAAAACACTCACACTAAAGTGCTTCACTGTAAAATTTCAGAATCACAGAACAAATTAAAAGTTTCCACAGTGCAGATTGTGGGGGAAGCTTCACTTACAAAAGATTGAAAATCAGAATGATAACAAGACTTCTCATAAGCAGCTCTGAACCCTGAAAGTAATCATTAATGCCCTCCAAATTCCAAGAAAAAATCATTTCCAATCTAGAAATCTAAGACATTTTCTAACATGCTGTATCTTTAAAAGATTAGTTCTCTTATAACTCTTCTCAGGAAACTTCTAGAAGACATGCTCCACCAAAAACAAGGGAATAAATCAAGAAAGAGGAAACCACAAGATTGAAGAAATAGGGGATAAAGTGACAGAAATCCCCAGGAAGGCAGCTGTGCAGCAGGCCTGAAGAGCAATCAAATCAGTCCAGACTGGGGCCCAAGAGCACAGTGCTCTGGAGGGACAACTCCAAGTAAAAAGGAAACTGACTGATTACTGAAATGCATTGAGAGAATTTTTTTCACTTCTAGAGAATAGTTCTAATAAATGAGAAAACTAAGCAAAGAAAAAAAACAAAACAATAATTAATCTTAACCCGGGGCAAGCAAACAAAAATGTACAAAAGAAGAAATGTAAGCATAAGTCCCTGTAGGCTTGGCTATAATGTAATATAATATAATGTTATAATAACAAAAGCACTGAATATTGATCTAACCCAAAACTGTAAAATAACTATACTAGGAAGATTGGAAAGGAGGGGTGCCATGATTGTGTATTGGGAAGAGAAAGTCTAAGAAAGCTAATTCGTTTCTTTCATGGAGGAAATCAATAGATAATATATAATATTGAAAATTCAAGAAAGATCAATATAAATATTTCATTTAGAAGTAGACTAGTATCAGAGGAATATATCAGTTTTGAAAGTTTGCCTCTGAAAATATTAACTGGAACTGGAAACATTGATTTTAAAGATTATGTAATTTTTCCTAATGAAGCAAAAAAAAAAAAAAAAAACCATTCTGAAGTCACAAGAAGAGAGGCCAAAAATATTATGGAAAAGAATAAAAGTGAGCAAGGACAAGTTCTAAAAGATATATAAAAATATCATACAATATGGAGATACCTTAAAGCAATACAAGTGGATCTACCATTTGATCCAGCAATCCCATGACTGGGCATCTACCCAAAAGAACAAAAGTCACTCTATGAAAAAGACACCTGCACTCGAATGTTTATAGCAGCACAATTCACAATTGCAAAGATGTGGAAATAACCAAAGTGTCCATCAATACATGAGTGGATTAATAAAATGTGGTATATGTATACCATGGAATACTATTCAGCTATAAGAAACAATGGTGATATAGCACCTCTTGTATTTTCCTGGATAGAGCTGGAACCCATTCTATTAAGTGAAGTATCCCAAGAATGGAAAAATAAGCACCACGTGTACTTACCATCAAATTGGTATTAACTGGTCAACACCTCAGTGGACATATAGGAATAACATTTATCGGGTGTCAGGCAGGTGGGGGGGAGGGGATGGGTATATACATACATAATGAGTGCAATGCGCACCAACTGGATGGACATGCTTGAAGCTCTGACTCAAGGGAGCAGGGGGGCCAAGGGCAATATACGTAACCTTAACATTTGTATCCCCATAATATGCAGAAAAAAAAAGTATCATAAAACCATATCTATTAAAAACCATGGGCCAGACACAGTGGCTCACACTGTAATCCTTAGCACTTTGGGAGGCTGAGGCAGGAGGATCACTTGAGGCCAAGAATTCAAGACCAGTCTGGGCAACATAGTGAAACTACATCTCCACAAAAAAATTTAAAAATTAGCCAGGCATAGTGGCAGGTGTCTAGAGTCCCATCTGCTTGAGAGGCTATGGCAGAAGGATCACTTGAGCCCAAGAGTTCAAGGTTGCAGTGAGCTATGATCGTGCCACTGCACCCGTGACTGGGAGACAGAGCAAGATCCTGTCTCAATCAGTCAATCAAAAAAAATGAAAACACAAGAAGAGGCAAAAAATACAGAAAGAGACTCCCAGCATTTTAAGTAAGCGCTACAACCCAGTAGGGAAAAGACAGATTATATAATAAACGTCTGTGTGCCAAGTAGTAAGCCATCTAAGGAGACAGAGAAGAAAACTAGATCCCTTCCTACTGAAGGATCTGCCCTAAATTCTAGATGTCATACTAACATCTAGATTTAAAGATTACAAATGAACTTCCGACTTAAAGATTGCAAATGAAACTAAAAGCACTAGAAGGCATGGCAGAAAAAAGAAAAGATTATTTTATAATCTTAGAGAAGGGAAGGCCTTTCTAACAAAGGCATAACACCTAGAAGTCTTAAAGGAATAGACTGATCATTTTGACTACATAACAATGACACTTTCTGTATAACCAAGTCAACATTGTAAATGATGTTAAAAGACAAACCAGGAAAGATTCTTGCTATGTATGCGAGACAAAACAATTTTACTTTAAAATAAAAAGCTTTTACAAATCATTAAAAAGAAAACACTGATAACAACTGAAAAATGGGCAAGGGTTTCAAACTGGGAGTTTACAAAATAAGAACCCCAAATGGATTATAAATATATATGTCCAACCTCACAACTTAAAAAGTAAGTTCGAATATCTGCAATCAAACAAGCATCTACCCCAACATTCTACTGACAGTGATCTAGCAAAAATCACAAGTGACCCTGTTGCCAAATATCAGAATAAATAAATGTTCTAAAAAAATAAACATATAGTCATCTTGAAATGAGGCAGAAAAAAGTTTAGGAAACTGTCAAAAACCTTGATAAAGTTCTAAATATTAAGAAATTTTATAAAAAGCACATTACAAAACTGTATATATGGTATACGTCCAATTGTGACATATACACATATATAATAGCCAATAAAATAAACATAATATAAATGCATAGAAGAAAACACAAAGCACAGCCATCAAAATATTAAAGGTGGTTGTTACCAATGGGTCAAGTGATTTTCTTTCCTTTCATAAGGTTTTCTGTATTTACCAAATTCTCTACAATTAACCTATAATAGTACTTTTAAAATCAGACATAGTTATAAGGATCTGTGTAAAGTCTCCACATCCAGACTTTCATACTTACCAGGAATAATAAAAATAAGCAGTTTAGGCCTGTTGACACTTTGATCATCTAAGAGGTTAGTCCAAGGCCCACATTTTAGCACCTGGGTTTCGACTCCAGCACACAAAATGAATTCCTCATGCACTGGAATGTCTTCCTTGAGTTCTGAGTCCATTTCTAAATAAGGAGAGAAAAGAAGTATGAAGAGTCAGTAAAATTTAAAACCTTGAGCCAAGGACAATAAAAAAAAGAGCAAATTTCAATATATCTCAAAGGAAATGCCACAAAGACATATGGGAGATATAACCCTATTCAGCTATTCTGGATTAAAAGATTGAAAGACAAATTAAAACAAACCCTAAGAGTAGTTAGAAACAGGGGGATACATCTTTGGCAAAATAAAAGACTACAGAAGGGCTTGAATTAAATCAGGTTAGCCTTCCCCATAGCTCTCCTCTCCTGTCTAAATAGACAATGGCCATGGATATAACTTTTACTTTCCTTCTGCTGAAATTCTCTAAAGAGCAAGTATCAATGAAATCATGAAAGGTGTTTTCCACAGTTTGTTGAGAATTTAATATTTTCCCTTGCAATAAGTGGTCGGACACCTGGAAGAAGTGGTAGTCACTTGGTGCAAGGTCTGGTGAAAATGGTGGATGACAGAGAGTTTCCAAGTCCAACCTCTGTAGTTTTGAGCAGTGTTGTTTGTGCAACATGTGGTTGAGCATTGTCTTGCAAGAGGACTAGCCTATCTCTATTGACCTATCTTGGCTGCTTAATCGCAAGCATCCTCATCATTTTGTCCAATTGGAAGCAGAAGACATCCACAGTAATTAATCGAGCAAGTTTCATGAAGCTGTAGTGGATAATACCAGCACTGGACAGGCAAACAGACGCCAGCTTTTTTTGATGAATATTTGGTTTTGGATGGTGTTTCAGCACTTCATCTTCATCCAACCATTGTGCCAAAAGCTTGCAATTGTCAAAAATAATCCATTTTTCATCAAATGTAACAATATGGTATAGAAATGGTTCATTTTTATGTCGTGACAGAAAAAAAGGCAAGCTTCCAGACAATTTCTCTTCTGATGCTCATTTAATTCATGTGGAACCCATCTATCCAGATTCTTTACCTTGCCAATTTGTTTCAAATGGTCCAATATTGTTGGAATAGTAACATCAAACCTTGCTGCTAATTCACACATAGGTTGAGATGGATTCGCTTCTACTACGGCTTTCAGTTCATCATTATCCACCTTGGTCTCAGGTCACCCATGTGGCTCATTTTCAAGATTAAAATCACCAGAATGGAACTTCTCAAGCCATCGACATACTATTTATGCATTCATTAGCCACATCCTTCCCAAACACTTTGTTGATATTTGGAGCTGTTTGTGCTGTATTTACCCCGTGACAAAATTCATATTCAAAAATAACATGAATTTTTGACTTATCTATGGTTTCACAAAAATTACTCTAAAAAAATTTGAAAGATAATCACAAGTCAAACCATGTGTCTGAAAGACTGAGGATGTATCTTCACAATCAAAATAAAATAAGAAGTGTCAAAATGAAATGTCAGAAATATCAAGGGTTGAACAGTACTTATGGAAATCAGACATTTCATACTTAAGCTAATATTATTAAAGTACTACATTATTAAATTATAAAAGGAGTAGATGGAAAAAAAACAGGATGCGATAATATCATGAACAATTTTCAGAATAACCTAAGCATGTACAAAAATGTTGGCCCAAATTATTTCTATGACTCTTTCCTCTTTGCCTTAGTCTTCCTTGTCTACTGACAGCACCAAATCCCAAACCTTCACTGGTCTTTCTATCTTCTTCTTTTACTACCTTCCAGAGTCAAGACAAAAAGTGCCCTTCTAGCTTTTTCTCCTCTTATCACCTTTACACTGACGTTGCACTCTAGTCTGTCTTGCCCTTGCACTTCCTTAGTGTTCCTGTGCTTTTTTTCCTCCTACAACTTTGCTCATATTTTATCCCCCAAAGACTTCCAGCATGCTTTCCCCCTTTGTGCAGTTATGAATTATTGCCTCTCCATTCCAAATTCATCCTCCATTGGCTTCTATGAGAAAATGGATCTGGGCCTTTAAAATATTTTGCCTTTACCAGCAGATGTAATGTTAAGCTCTGTCAGTAGAGTATACTGGAGAGACTTCGCAGGAGGGAGTTTTCTCAGCAGGTTTCTAGAGCTTATATTCCCCCCCCATCCCCCTCACTGCTCCGCCGCTGTGAGATTTCTTTATTGTAGTGATTTACAACTGGAGATGATTTCCCCCCCAACCCAGAGGACATATAATAATATCTGGAGCTATTTTTCATTATCACAACTTGGGAGAACCACTGGCATAGAGTGACTAGAGGTGGAGGATGCTGCTAAGCACCCTACAATGCCCAGGACAGGCCCCCACTACAAATAATTATCCACCCCCAAAGGTCAATAATGCCAAGGTGGAGAAACACTGCTCTAGTGCTAAGTACTTACAGGGTATAGCTGTCTCCAGCATTTGGCTAGCTCCTGCACGCTTTCTTTCTCCAGCTTTCTACTCAGGCGGCAGCAACATTGCAGCTGGGAGCCCCAGACCAAATGGCTACACCCTCTACCCTTTCTTCAGTCTACAAGCACATGCCAGCCTAGCCAGCCAACTGGCCTTTGTGCCACTTTGTGTGGGAACTCCCTTGCCCCAGGCTGTTCACAGCAGTGCTAGATTGCTAGATTGCTGCATACCAAGGCCTCTCCAACTTCCAATTCCAGCAAGCACCTAAAGTGCTCCAACTCCCTCTGTACTCATCTACCAGCCTCAACTCACCTGAACCCCAAGAATTGTTACCTGAACCCCAAGGATTGTTACTGGGGCCCTCCCAACACAGATACTATGTGCTCCATCCAGGGCTCCCTTGTACCTGTAGCAGTGCCTTACCTCTGCAAGCTCTCCCACCAGTCTTGGTTCACGTGCTGACACAGTGAGCGCACCAGCTTTGCCCCAGGCAACTTGGCAAATTTCTCTATCATTCAATGGGCTGCAACCACGCCTTCAATGAGGTCTGAACCCTCATATCAATTTTATCCTTCCTTGGGTACTTTACCTCAGTCCTAGGGTACCTTTTAGAGTTCACTTTAGAGTTTCTCTCCTATCATATAACCTGATAATTCTTTATGTTAAAATAATCATTTAAATTACAGTGTGGTTTCTGTCTCCTGATTTGACGCAAACTAAAAACAAAGAAAAAAATCTTAAAAAGCAGCCAGAGAGAAATAAATAACATTATCTATAATGGGAACAGTAATTTAAATGTCAGTAGATTTCTAATTGGAAATCATTGAGGCCAGACAGAAATGGCACATCATTTTTCAAAGGTTGAAGAAAAAGAACTGTCAAGTCTAAATTCCATATCAGACAAAAACATTTTTCAGGAATGAAGGGGAAAAAAGACATTCTGAGATAAAGGAAAACAAAAATAATTTGTCACTAACAGACACATCTTTAGGAAGTTCTCCTAAAGGAAGTTCTCCAAACAGAAAGGAAATGATGATCAAATGAGGTTTAACTTCAGTAAAGGAACAATGGAATGGATAAAAGTAGTGGTAAATATAAGGAACTATTCTTCACCTCATGAGTTCTTAAAATGATATTTATTGACTGAAACGAAAGTTACAACAACATCTGATATGGTGTTCAATGTATATAGAGGAAATAAGACAATTATACTGAAGAGGTAGAAAGGGTAAAAGGACCTAAATGGAAGTAAGGTTCCTACACTTCACTTGAAGTGGTAAAAGTCAATACAAGTAAGCTGTGGGATAAGTTATTATATATACTGTTATACCTAAAGCAACCACTTAAAAAGTTATACTAAGCAATATACTCAAAAACATTATAATTAAGTCAAACAGAATTCTAAAAATATTCAAACAACTTATAGGAGGGCAAGAAAAGAGAAATAGAAATGAAAAACAGAGGAAATAAAAAGAAAACCAATAATAAAATGGCTGACTTAAGCCCTAACATATCAATAATTACTTTAAATGTAAATGATCTAAATATGCCAGTTAAAATATAGAAATTGGCAGAATAGTGTTTTTTTAAGACTCAAATATACATACTGTATACAGGAAATTCATTTCAAACATAATGACATTGGTAGGTTGAAAATAAAAGGATAGAAATGATATATCATGCAAAAATTTTTTTAAAAGTAGGGATGGCTTTAATACCATCAGATAAAGTTGACTGCAGAGCAGAGAAAATTACTGGACAAAGATAAAAGGATTAATTCATTAAGAAAATATCCTGAATGTATATGCACCAAATAGATATTCAAAATACATGAAGCCAAAACCAAGAAAGCTAAAAGGAAAAACAGAAAAATCCCTAATTATAGTTGGGACTCTCAGCAACAAAAACAACTACTAGACAGACAACAAGATACAGAAGAACAGAACACCACCATCAACTAATAGGACATAATCAACAAGTATAGTATACTGCATACACCCAACACAGCAGAAGACACGTTCTTTTCAAGCATCCATGGAACATTTGTCAAGATTACACCGCATTCTCAGTCATAAAACAAACTCAAATTTAAAAGAATTAAAAATCAAACACTTTGTTTAGATTCATAAACAAAATGTTTTTTAGTCTGCTGTAACTATTAAACTTATATTCATCCTATCTTTCTCCAGAATAACATGTTGGAGCATATCCTGACATGATGATCCTATTGCCACTCACAACAAAACCACCCTTTTCTGTAGTTCTTTTCATTTGCAAAGTACATTCTCATCCTTTCTCCTCTGACTATGACAAGGTCTTCAAAGTTGGCAGTGCAATTAATAGAATGAGAAATTGAAGGTCAAAGATTTTTTCTTTGTTTAAGGTACAAAGAATTTAAATGGCAAAATCAGTTCTATAGTCTTCTGACTCCTATTCCATTATTTTTCCAGTCACATATTACTTTGAAATCGCATGGAATACTAAAAAATCCAAGGAACAAATTGCAAAATAGTATAGGATCAAGTCCACACAGAAATGAGTATGATGCATTACATGAAGAATCTATGCAGTTATCTTTGTTCCTATTTGTTAAGTGGTCACAGACTAGCAATTGTGCAATTTTTTTGCAACTTTTGCAATTCCTCTACTTTCGCTATTTGGATATTTGCTACTTGAACGACTGCATACTAATCCCAGTGAGATTCTTCTCAAACCTGTGCAACTAGGTCAGAAAATAGAGCTTATATAAGGAACAGAAAATCTATCACTACTGCAGAGAAAATATAAAAACTAAAGCACACACTACACCCATGATGAACTTCCTGACTTATCTTTACTTGAAAAAGGCAAAAAAAACACAAAACCTTTTTAAGGACTCCTTTGCTGCCTCTAAGTTACCAACTGTTACATAAAACTTTACTGTAATTACACACACACACACACTGTTTTAAATGTGCCAAAATGCAGCTTTCAGCTTCTGGACATCAATTAAAGCCAGCAATTTCACAACTTTGTACAAACTACCCTACTTACATATGTTAAATATCATTAAAAATAACATACTAACTTCCCTTTGGTTAAAGTACACTTAAAGTAGACGTAGGAACTAAATGCTTACTTCTAAATATTTTATGGTAATACTTTGTATTACCATACATATGGTAATACTTTGTATTACTTTGTACATAAATACTTTGTATTTATGGTAATACAAGTGAGAAAATGCTGAAAGGGGATCAATATTTTAACAAAGTCAGTCACCCAGGCCGAAGACTTTAAGTTATCAAAATGCAAAATATTAAAATATAAAATTTTAGAGGGGCACCTTGATTGTCCTTTAAAATGCTACATGCTGTCAAGAGAAGCCTTAGAAGGTGTGCAGGCTTTTGAGGTTCAGGTGGAAAAATGGGGAAACACTCAATGGAGACACTCGTACTTACAGAAAGTAGTTTTAAAAAAGAAAAATTTGTGAATAAACAGGCTGGAGATTTTTCTGGGTTTCTTTTAGTCATGTGTCTCTTTCTCTACAGGGATTTGCTCTTAGAACTAAAATGACTATGAAATATGGGTTCAGAAGGTGAACCATAAATTCTCCCAGAGTTTGCCACACAGAACACAAAGCAGGTGTCTAGTAACTACTTGCGGAGGAAGACATTTATAGAGAAGTGTCCCATCTTAAAGGTGAATGAAAAGTGGAGTGCACTAGACGCCTGGCGCAAGGTACATTCCAGACCCGGATTTTGACCCCTCTTAGTCATTTCTTCCCAGTCGACTGCCCAACGTTCTGGACTCTACTCCCCAAGGGGATCGCCATAAGACTTCCCAAAGGTGAGCAGCATTAACTGTACAAATGGTGCGTCCCCGCGCTCAGGGGAGCGATTGCCCAGAGGCTGTGAACTACCGATCTGTTGCTGCACGGTTATTTCTACGGCTAAGGGCCATCTAGCCAAGAGCAGCGGGGGCTCTGCGAAGAGCCATAGAAAGGAATGGGCTCCAGATCCTGCGTGCCTGCCCGCCAGTCCTTCCTCCGGCAGTCACCCAGAGCGCACAGATCAGTACCTCACCTGTCTGCCTACTTGGTGGCCGGCTTTCCCTGTGGATCCTGGGAAGGTGCCTCCGGGCCGGAAGTTCCGCCTCCCAGTGACGTCACCTCACTGAGCCGCGCGCTGCTCTGGGAAGCTGACGCGTTTAGGGTGCGCCGCGTGCTAGAGAATGGGAGATTTCTGACCCAGGCTTGGGACCGGTGGTCTGGATCTCCTGAGACCGCCCAGAAGATCAGGGGTTATCCCTTCTCGTTCATTTGAACTTTATCTGCCTTTTATATGCTCTCAGCGTCCCTTTTCTTTCATTTGTTCTCCATTTCTCCCTCTTTTTTCCTCTGCACGCTTTTCCTCTTCCTCGTTATTGGTGGTATCTCTTTCCTTCCTTCCCCACATACACAGGAAGTGGATTCTCAGTTGATCTTGATTAGCATTAGTATGGTCAGCCTTTGATACTTTTGGAAAATGCTAAAAGTGTCTATTGCAGAGGTATATTTTGAACTTACCACACCCAAACTGGTGTGTTTGTATGTATATATAATATAAAATTGATATGTATCTGTCCAAAGATGCACTGATGCACTATAGTGAATACCACGGTCTTATTGTCAGGGGAAACAGATAAGTAGGTTGGCAACTCATTAATGACTCATTTCAGGTAGAAAGGAAGCCTTGGTCCTTTTGTATTTAACATCTCAGTGATAGGTCCCACCATCAGACCAGTTGTAGTAAGTAGACTGGTACCTCTTCACCTCCTCTCTTTGGTTAGTTCTACTTCCTAAATATAATAAGTGACACCTAATGAGTTTAGGAAAAGCCACTGGCTGTGCTAACAGCTTTTCATGAGTAAATTTGTTTTTAATCCCCCCAGAAATCCAATGAGGTCAGTGTTTACTATGTGCTGAGTATTGTTTTGAGTGCTAAGGGCAAAACAGAAGGAAGGGTCTTTGCTTTCTTGGAAGGCAAGCAGATAATAAATATATACAGTAAATAAGAAATAAGAAAAGAGAAAATAAAATTAAATGTCAATGTGAAAGAGAATGGCTCAATCAGGTTGGGTTGACAGGCAACTAACTGAGCTGAGTCTTGAATGACAAGGAGTCAACCAGAAGATCTAGTGAAAGAATTCTGGCATTCCTTCACATTCTTTGTCTCCTTTAACCCTAGCTGCCTAGTATTCTGGTGCACTGTCCTTGGCACACTTTTCTATCTTTTTTTTCTATTTTTTTTTTCAGACTCATAACTGGGACAGAAGACACTCTTTTTTTCTTTTTTATCTAAACTCTCTCCCGAGAGGAACACTCCTACACTGCTGGTGGGACTGCAAACTAGTTCAACCTCTGTGGAAAGTAATATGGAGATACCTCAAAGCAATACAAGTAGCTCTACCATTTGATCCAGCAATCCCACTACTGGGCATCTACCCAAAAGATCAGAAGTCACTTTATGAAAAAGACACCTGCACTCGAATGTTTATAGCAGCGCAATTCACAATTGCAAAGCTGTGGAAACAACCCAAGTGCCCATCAATTCATGAGTGGATTAATAAAATGTGGTATATGTATACCATGGAATACTATTCAGCTTTAAGAAACAATGGTGATATAGCACCTCTTGTATATTCCTGGATACAGCTGGAATCCATTCTACTAAGTGAAGTATCTCAAGAATGGAAAAACAAGCACCACATGTACTTACCAGCAAATTGGTATTAACAGATCAACACCTAAGTGAACATATAGGAGTAACATTTATCGGGTGTCGGGAGGGTGGGAGGGGGGAGGAAGGGATGGGTATATACAACCACGAGTAAGATGTGCAACGTTTGGGGGATGGACACGCTTGAAGCTCTTACTCGAGGGGGGACAGGGGCATAGGCAATATATGTAACCTTAACACTTGTACCCCCGTAATACTCTAAAATAAATAAATAGTGAGTTGAACAAAGCAATAAATAAATAAATAAATAAACTCTCTCCCAAGGTGTTTGCACCCAGTCTCATAGCTTTAAATACTATTTGTAGACAGACAACTCTCAAATCCACATCTTTGGCCCATACCTCTCCCATGAGTTGCAGACTTGCAGATCAAACAACCTACTCAACATCTCCATTTGAAAGTCAAATAGGCAACACAAAGTTCACATAGCCCACACGGAGCTATTGATCTCCCACCCCAAGGGCAGGAATTCTTCCTGACCTCAGTACAAAGTGGAAATGGGATCTGTAAAACAGCTGGGGACCCAGGCAGAATTCTCTCTCTATCCCTTGACTTCGCTTCTGTCTTGGCATCTGTTTCATCATTCATTTATCCACAGGTTACACAACGGAATATGACTGTTTATGGCTCATGCAATGTATTCTGTAAATTGAGGAGTCATTAGCGCTGTTTAAATAGTTTCTGCTTTCTACCTCCTGGACACATGGTAGGAGGGACTTTCCCTACAGTTAGGTGAAGAGGTTGTGGGGGAAGGGATGTGAGCAGTTCTGGCCAATAAATTGTGAGGAAAAATGGTATGTCAATTCCAATATGACCAGATAATTACTTGTGTGAGATCCTCCAAAGCTTCACTTTTTTCTTTCAGCAAGATGATGTTAACATTAAAGGTAATATCAGTCCCAACAGGCTGTAACTATCCTTGAGTAGCTGTCACTGCATAGAGTCTAATCTCCACCCTGTGCTAAACACGTCTTGGTCTGTTTGTGTTGCTATAACAGAATACCTGAGACTGGGCGATTTGTAAAGAAAAGAAGTTTAGTTACCTCATGGTTCTGCAGGCTGGGAAGATCAAGGTGCGTGGTGCCAGCATCTGCTTGGCTTCTGGTGAGGGCTTTTGTGCTGCATCATAATATGGTGGAGAAGGTCAAATGAGAAGCGGAAAGGGACCAAACAGGACGAAGAATGTCCCTTTATAATAACTTGCTCTTGTGAGAACTAGTCCTGTCTCTGAGAGCAAGAACTCACTCAATATCACAAAATGGCACCAACTTATTCATGCGGGATCTGCTTATGACCCAAACACCTCCCAATACCACTACATTGGGTATCAAATTTTAATGTGAATTTTTGTGGGGACAAACCATATCTAAACTATAGTAACACATATGATGAAAAAGAAATAAACCCTTGGTGTTTAAAGCTTCTGAGATTCTTGCTGTTGTTACTGCAGTACAAATGTAGCCTTTCCAGATTGATACAGAGAGACAGCCACACAAGGACCCTTTGATTTTAATTCCAAATACCCAGGGGAGAATTTCTGATAGGCTCAGCTCGGGTCTGGTGTCCAGCAATTGTCCAATCATAAATGGCAAGTGCTTGTGGTCACATTAACCCTCTGCCATGAGTAAGGGGATGGTAGTGAATGGGCAGACATTCCACAAAGATGTCTACCGTAAGTACAAAAACCAATAAAATTAGACCTTTTATAGACTTTTTAAAACAGTAAATAAAACATTTTTACCTTTTACATAAAAATTCCAGACTTTCATTACTCATTCATTTAATAGTGACTACCTATCACACTCCAAATGTTCTTCCAAGCTGAGGACACAAAGGCAACCCAAAGGGAAATGCCCTTGCTCTCACAGACACACAATAAAGAAATTAAAGTAATTAATATACAATGACAGTGGAATGGGGAGGTTGTGTTTCATCAAGGATGGAAAAACTCATTACCAGGTCTATGACTCTCGGGAGGTGCCTTGGAAGGACACTTCCTAACCACCTCTTTGGTCTTCACCCAGACCCAGGGACACTTGACTTTGGGAAAGGTCTCTGGAGTTTGATCTGGGTCACAACCTGGGGATGCCCGCTTTCTGGCCAGACCAATAGGTTTCTAAGTTTCGGTCTGACTCAGATCTTGGGGATGCCCGATGTCTGATCAGATCTTAATCTGACTCAGTCTCGTCAGATCTAGTAGTATGAGTTGGGGATGCCCCTCTCAGAATCTCTTCTTTTGATATGTGCCCATCTCTGAAAAGTCTTTTCCTTTTCTTTCTCCTGGTTATTGTCATGGACAACATTCAATTGGCCCCACCTAAAGACTCCCTATTGGGATGTCTCCTTAAGAATCTGAAAATTTGGGGACTTACCAACTGCCCACCCAAACATTTAGTCTTCTATTGTAGTACAGCCTGGCCACAATATAAATTAAATGGCCAGGAGTTTGGCTCAAGAATGGATCTCTTAATCATGGTATTATGATACCATTCTTCATCTAGACCTTCATTGCTGCTAGCTTGGCAAATGGTCTGAAGTTCTCTATGTTCAGGCTTTCTTTGCGCTTGCTTGACATCCAGATTTTCTCTCTGTTTGCTGCATGTTACTTCTTACCACTACATCTCTCCTACCACCTTCCTCTCATCCGGATGATGTTTTCCTTTCAGGTCCCCCATTCTCCCTCCATATTGCCTCCATCCTTTGGTGCTATTGTCTAATCCTTTAACCCCACAGTCTTCACTTTCACCTACTTCTCCCCCTTCTCTACCACTCTTGCCCAGCTGTACTTGTTCTGGCTGGTTGTTCCAAAATCCCTCCCCACCTGTATACCAGTTCTACCTTTGGGAGGCTGCTGGATCAGAAGACATTATAAATTACTCAGAGCCAGTATGAAAATACAGCCATTTATGTTTCATGACTTTCTGAGGCCATTCACCCCTTTACTAACTTAGATCCTGACACAAGGGAGATACAATCCATCTTAGCAATGCACTTCATCTTCCAGTCAACCCCTGCTATTTGGTTTAAATTCCAAAAACTTGAAAAGAGGCCTCAAACTCTATAAGCATAACTTTCAAACCTGACCTTCAAGGACTTTAATAACTGAGATGAGGAGAGGAGAGAGGAAAAGAGAGAACGGGACCAGCAACAGGCCTAAGAGCAGAAGGAGGTTTTCCAAATGGTGACTACTGCTATAGGAGGAGCTTTTCAGAGACCAGAGTTACCCAAGGGGCTCAGGCAAGAAGTCACCAGGGCCATGCTCTTCTCTGAGAACTAAGTCTTGTTTTGACTGTAATCAACTGAGTTACTGGAATAAGGAATGCCCCAGCAAGCAGCCTCCATGGCACCAACTCCTTCAGGAATGTGCTGATACCCACCTTCCTCAACCCCTTAATTTAAAGAGACCTCAACAT